GGAGAGGGACGGAGCGTTGGACCGATCACCGTCAAGGGGGGGGGGCACTGGACACTTTGGCCATGCCTTGATAATTCACAAAGTAAAAAAAACAAATCCCGGCCGTAGAAAGGGGGTGACTCGCACGATGGGGATCGGCATAAGGATCAGGCCACAATTATTGCACCTGCGGTGGGTGGGTCGCAGCCCGGGCAAAGGCAACCTGGGATTGCGTTCGATGTACGATACGGAAGCGTATTCAGGAGGCAGCAAGGATGAACGGGGTTTAGGAGAAACGAGCCAGTTAATAACTGCAAAGCCTGGCAACGTGAAAAAGCCAAGACGTGCGGCTGAACCTCCACCACATCTAGTCTTGTTTGTGGGAATTCGCCGCCTCTCACGCGACACACACCTTGGCGGTCACAATCGGTAAGCAGGAACGACAATAACACCCCGCGTTTGTCTAAGCATCGAAAGGCGTCATGTGGGTTGCTGGGATAGGCCTGGATACCTGTCTGTCTAGTACCCAGCGGTCGGCATGTGACACGGAGTCTGTGACTCTTATCACCTAGACAGTCTGACGGCATCTGCCAGACAAGCGCAGCGCTCGCGAGGCGGGGCGCACTAGCTGCTGCCGTTTCATCTCTCCACGCAGCGGAGGATTGATTCTCGGCGTCCAAGATGCCTTCTTTCTCTCGATTTCCCGTGTCTTCGCCCTCCGCTCTCAACTCGTTTAGAACCATATAATGCGGACATCATGTCATTATTATTTTCACACCCTATCACCGCAGAATGAATAACCCGCTCTTTTTTGCCGGGAATTCCGCGGGTTGTTCCGTTTGTTGTGGTGCTCGTTCGCTAGGTCTTCCGAAGTCATTGTGACCGTCTCGGTGTGAGTGACGGGAGCAAGCCGCCCACAATGCGCGGGCCGGGTCAGGACTACTGTACTGGGGAAGAGGCCCGCCGTGCCCATCTTTCTCCCTCTTTTCTGGCACGCCGCATACGAGAGCGGGCCTCGCGTTTCGTGAGCACGCCTCCGCTCACTAGCAGGGGTGTCGTGTCATCAACGACCGGGGGGTCCTTCAGGGTTGGCGTGCAGGCTCGCCCCCCCGGGGACTGCCGTGTTGCGCCGCCTGTTGAACGTGCGCATCGGGCGAAGATGGGGGCGGAGCAAGGAGGATCGTGCCATGTTGAGAGGAGGCCGGTCTGTCTGTGGCATTGTAGATTGTACGTTTATTTTACGACTGACTGGGGGTGCTCACGGAAAAATGTTTTTGGTTGGGGAGCGGAGGTGGAAATATCCATTGACGGGTCTGTACAGCGGTCGTTCGCGGGGAGGGATCCATTTTTATGTTTTTTTATTTCCAAGATGTGGTGGTGTTGCGCGTGGTAGGTGGGATGCAGCCTCATCGATTCTCACGTTTCGGTTCGGTCGGTCGTCGTCGTCGTCATCGAAAACCGGGTTTGATTTTCATTCTGCCCGCACCAACAAGCAGCCAGCCTCTGTGAGTTTTCGTCATTGTTGTTGTTGAGTGTCGACCTTGAGTGTTTGACACAAGTTTTTTGCCCCTCGGGCTCGTCACTCCGGTACAAACGCCAAATAACATGCCTAGTCAACGTGTTTTAAGTATTGTTACATCGGTATCGTTACATAAATCGCTTACACCCTTGAGAGCTTACCCTTCCTTATGAGGGATCCTATCTGTGTAGGTGTGTGTCGGTGGTCCTGCGGTTCGGCCGAACTCGTCGCCACTCGAGAAATAGTAATAGTTTCATGTGCGTGTCCCCGTGCAGGATGGCTGGGGCTGCTTTAATCATTCTGGGCTCTTGTTCAGCTACCGTTTTCAATGTTCCCTGTGCTGGGAGTGGTGGACCTGGCGTGTCCTTACTTGCAACAAGCTTCTTCTTGGCCCCGGTCGATCTCTCGGTGCGCGGCCGCGATTTTTTCGCAGCTGCAGTTGTCTATCTGGCTTTTTGTTGGTTTTTTGTTGACTTTTTGCACGTTTTTCTGTCCACGTGTGTGTGTTTGGTCGGGAGTTCTGAGAAGGATATTCAATAGGCGGTCGGTGATGGCTAATTTTTATTTTTGCGTTGTTCGTTTCATGGAGTGGTCGTCGCTGGTAGACGCCGAATGGGACACATCGCCCCTTTCGGGGAAAGCGAGGGCAACATAATGTGAACACTGCTTTTTTCTACCCGTATGTTTACGTTGAGTGTTGGTGTGTAAAGCGTTGGTTTCGGCATGAAAAGGAGTTCCCCTCTGAAGGACTGATGAAAGAGTTGTCACACGATTGTGTTGATGTTTACTCGTACTTTTTTTCCGTGTGTGTGTTAGCGGGGGCGGGGGGCGGGGAGGGCGGGGCTGGCGTATAGTATTGTAATTCAGCATCCCTTGGTATGATACGGCCATCTTGGCCAGGACAACCGCCCAGGGACAGAAGAGGAAGGAGGCGTTGTTGGCGGAGGATAACCCGGCTACTCACGACGAGGTAGCTCGAAGAAGACCGGCTTTTCACAATTTCTCATAGCGCTATCGTGGTAGCTTTTGCGAAAATGGGAGGGAAATATCGGTCTTGGTGTCAAAATTGTTTTCGTTGTCGTGGTTGCGTGAGCGACAAAATATGATGCACTTTGTGTGTGGACGTTCGTCGAGTGCCAGAATGGAGTCGGCGCTTTGGTGTTGCGCAGTTCGAACGAGAAGCGAACGTCTTGCCGCATCTCGGGCTGTGAATGAACGTCTAGTGACGAGGAGATCTTTTTCGCGATCACGCAATACGAGCATCATGCACAGGGAGGCGAGATGGAGAGATGAACTCTTCTTGCAGGTGAAGCATATAGCAGTAGTTTCTGAGTTAATACAGCCTCTTTGTAGGGCAGGTACAGGGAGAGGTTTCGCCTTGGATATTCCTCGGAGCATAAATAGAGGCTGCATTGACATAGTGTAAGTACGCTTCCCCTCTTTGGTAATAAGACAATAGAGGGTTGTCGCCTTTAAGGATTTGCCGTTCTTGTTGCCTAGCCTATAATTTAAGAGTCAACCGCATAGGTATTTTGGTCTGGGGTAGTTCGCTATCAGTCTGTCGTTCTTCGGCGCAGGTCACCGGCTGTACCTTGTACTCAGCCATAAGTTTTTATCGGTGTGCCTTCGTGCAGGGTTAAGGCTTCGCGGGATTTCAGGAAAACACACTTCCACTGGCCGCCACCTGCTGGCGAGTTCCACTCTTTACGATAGTACGAACCATGTGTGACATAGCTCGTCGAACCGGGGAATTCCAAGTATATGTGCAGTCAGCAAGCCCTTCTTCCGCCACATCAACTCCGCCGTGTACTGCTGGGGTAGTGTGCTCCGTGGTGCTTTGTTGCTGCGTGGGGTGCTGGTGAGATGACCTGAGTCCTTAAACATACATACATATAGTCTACCATGTTGACGAAAGGAGCGGGAAGTCAGGTGCGGCCAAAAAAAGCAGGCAGGTTCGGCGGCGTGAGTGACGGGTCTGAAGGATCGTTCAGTACTCCCGTGGTCACAGAGGAAGTTCTCATTTTGACCCAACGGTCGATCTTACGAAGACTACGTCAACATTCCTAGAGAGCATGAGTCACTCTGTGAGGGGCTGTACAAGGCCTGACAATCGAGGGAAACTACATGTACAAATGAAAAGTGCATCATCGACAGCGAGCCGCTGTGTGCACACACATATATCGTGTTTTCACTGTTGCTCTGTTGTTCAACGCTTGGAGAGAAGTCCATGCAAGCACGTATGCCGAAGCGCTGAGAGAAGATGGCACGAAGAAGAACCTGGAAAGCGTAGCCGCTTCTGGCAGAGGGAAAAGCACCGAAGACATTCCGATTGCATCTATGCATACAGTTGTAGGTCTACAGGAATGCGGAGGAAGCGGCGGAATGTGTGCCGGTTCGGTTAGATTCGAATTCGTAATTTGACATGTGGGTAAGTAGTGAAGTTTGATCCTGCCTTCCTACCCATTCCCCTGCTTCACCTACTACTACAACTGTTGCTGCTCTTTGCATCCACCAGCGGAAGGTTCTTCCATATTCTTGATCCCCTACTTCGGAAGGGAAAGCCCGAATCGCTCCGACTACATCATATTGACGAGAGGAGGAGTGCTTCGAGGAATCTGGGAAATATACTTGTACAGTGAGTGACTCCGTCCAAGCCTCCGTTAGAGTGACACGGCAAGTGGCTGCACCCTTGCCGGCCTATTCTAGCTACGGAAGGTACCAAGGCAGGGGTACATTTGAGAGCATGTGAGCCATGCCATTCCTCCTGTGTGTTCACACATGCCCTTTGTTCCTGGCCGCTCGACGCGGTGAGGGGTCGGTCGTATTCTATTGTCTACTGCAGAAGACAAACCACACGCTCTTGAAGGACTGCCTGTTTGAGTTGAATATGGTACCACTCTCCGTAATAATCCCGAACAAGACATCAATCTGATTCCCCACTGCCAGACTGCACTAAAAGCTCAAGTATAAATATCGCTTACAGGAGAACCGGCAAAATCCCCTGTTCCACCGGTCGAATGCGATGGCTCGCGTGGACCCCAGTTGGCCGGAAAAAGTGTCAGAGCTTCTATACATGTATGTACAAGTATGGCTGATACGCGACTGCCCTCGAACGACCCACTTTGTGTTCACAACGGACTCTGCCGTGAGGTTTCCGTGTGGGTTGGAAGCTCTCCCCCGGCTCTTCTATTGGTTGATGTCTGCTCGCTGTAAAATCGGCTGGTTCAATCAGTTATTGCTTTTCCAAGCATGTGAAGCGCCGCCGTTCTACAGCAGCAGTACACATCCACCCACACTTTCGTAGACAATGTTCTATGTTCTATTTTCTTGACCGTTAACGGTCAAACCCTCTGAATCACGCACGCGGCAATGAACTCTTAGAGAGCTTGAATGACCGTCGAGCAATCTCAGACGAGCCATCTATACTCCGACCCCTCAAAATGACTGCACCCGTTCACCAAAACTCTCAAGCTACGTGAAGAGTGTATGCTCTTCCAAGGGTACCCGGCAGAACCCATGCTCGCCGCTCTATTGCGATGGATCCTGCGTCGGCTCTAGCTGGTTGCAAGAGTCAGGCCTCCGGGTCTGACACGGGACATCCCTCGGATGACCCAATTCGGGTACGCGGGGGATGGGTGGGATGGCGACGTTGGAGTAGGTGACCCCAAATTAGCTCGCCGCGGGCTCTGAATGTGATTGGTGTTGGCATGTTACAGTCTATAGTACCGGCTGGTTCAATCGCTGCTTATCTACACAAACGAGCTGCTTCTCGATCTTCAATCGAAGCGAACCGCAGTCACTCGTGCGAAACTCGTCACCACCTCCGTGTTTTCGCCTTTATTCCAAACCATCAACCCTACTCTAGCCACTCTAATTCCGATGCACTAAACAAGATTCATGGAGATGTGCAGATGAGACAACCCGGAGGCCTCCTGTAGGCTACTGAATACCCCGAGCTCGGTATGCGAGGTAGACTAGACTACTCTATCTACTGGAGGGGAAATAGTGGAAATAATGGAGAGCGGCCAGGGCCGCGGAAATCCGTTTTCTGAGTACCTCGAACTCATTCCTCCCTAGTGAAGCCACTACTGGCTGAAAAAATACTGCGAAACGGTCAACAACGATCCATTGATTACTCCAGGACGGTTCTGTTTCCAAGCGTCTTCTACTTGTATGTCAATCTATTCATTTCTACCTTCACGCGACAGGTATCCAGAGATAGCGTGGAATCAGCGCAGCACACAATGACCACATCGACGTCGATCAACATGCGAGATGAACGCACCGAGGTGAGCGAGACAAATCACCAATGCTCGTTGGAACTGTCCTTGTTGATGTCAGTCTTTTCCTCTCGTTCTTGGGTTGATTGATGAGCGCAATGGGACATGTTTTGCCTTTTTCCGATCACTATTCTTGCGCTTGGTAAACGCTGCCGTCGTGAAAACAAGAGAACAGAAAATATATGTCGTTCATACATAACAATATTCTCTCTCCTTCTCTTGCACGATCCATTTTGGAACCTCCCTCTCCACCTATCTATACAGAACACACCCCTGGGGATCTGGGCTCTACTCAAGTTCGCTACGCTGCTGAGCGTGACAGCATGCTTCTTGCTGAGGGTGGTGTTAAAGGCTGCGGATTCTGTGGTTATGCTGATAACAGGGCCCCCGGATGTGGTGCCGAGACCCACCCCTCCCCCTCCCTCCCCTCCCTCCCCTCCCCCTCAGGTACCGCACTAGAGGAAAAGGACGAAACCAAATAATTGGGGGAATACTGACATGCGTGAATTTCGCTAGGGTTCATGATAGGAGCCGGAAGCATCAACACAGTGCAAGCTCTCCGAACCGTGTATCCGGCTGCGTTTTCCCGCCTGGAAACAGGGGACATGCTGTTGACGAGCTACCGTCTAAATTGTTTGGATACAACGCGAGAAGCTGTCCACAGTTCGTGTGACTGCGACAGCCGAATTCGCGTCCATAGTCACAAGGTTGCGAGGTACCAGTCTGACTATGAATATACAATAGATCCTGTCAGTAGACCTATGTAAATATTTCACTTCTGCCCTCTGGGTATTCTTGACTGATTCTCTTTGGTTCGAACTACAGTATTTCAATGATTGGCGCAATAACTCGGAGAAAAGATGCAGCGAAATGTCATTTAGTGGTCATTCTCCCCAACACGTATGTTTCGGAACTTGACATTATTTTCCTGTGAAACATTCTTCGAATTCTCTAACCTGCGTGTGCTGTTTCACTCGATTGGGGAAGTACAGCGTTTGTTGGACATGTGCATGCATCCGGAAAGAGAGGATTTTTCCCGCTGTTACTTCCGACCATGGCCGAATGGCGAGAAGAACTGGCCGTTGCAACCTCCTTGGACCATGTCATGGCCGGCCGGGTGTATACTTCAGATCATGATTTGATTCGGTGGCTTTTGTGTTTCTTCGATTGGTAGCGCTTACGTTTTCCGTCCCACTCTTACTGTTGGGTTCAGCTGATGATTGTTTCACTGAGTGTTTCGCGGCTACGATTGTGCTCATTCGTTTTGACTCGTTTTCACGCGCGCGGTGCAACATCATGTTCGTTTGAATGGATGTCAGCCTGGACGCTGGAGGGGAGCACCCGTTGTTCAACGAAACAGGACGGAGGCGGTGCAGAGAATCAACACCACCGCGGAGGCCAGGGCGCTGAGGATTCAGAGCGGAGGTGGATACCATCTTTTAAAGACAGACACAAACCGATGTTTGGACAGCAAGTGATTTCCTCAGGAACTACATTCGATCCTTTGTTTTCCGTTTTTATTCCAGTTTAGACCTTGTCCGCTTCATCCGGAGATGTCAAGATGGAAGCGGGCCTACCTGTGTTTGTTTCAGCTATGAAATGTTTTGTTTTTTCTCCTGCATTTATTCCACGGTATGTCTCTGTATAGTCTAATAGTCCACGGTATTTTCAACACCGTGACGCTACAACTGGCTAAATCCTGGCTGCTAGTGAACAAACTTGACAACAATGTACTGCTGTCCAGCGGTGTCGACCGTTGATGTTCCTGAGGGAGTCGGGTAGCTCGAAGGATCCGAAAACGGTTGTCGTTCTATCTTTCGCGTTCTTCATGCGACTCCGCCGATACACTGTGAGGCGTTCGTCCCACTGTTGTTGTCGGTATGCCTATTTGTGGTGATGAAATATTTCAATAGTTCGTTCAAGTAAGGTCCAACTCGACTTGTCCTTGACTCCGTTCGCGTGAAGTGTACAGGAGACCTTGACATTTGCATGGGCAGATACAGCTTTTATCACTTGTTCGTCCTCGCCGTGAGCCAGGAACGCCGCGGCTACCGCCATGGATGTGGGACATCGCCGATTCAACCCGATTTTTTATGGCGCAACCTCTCGAGGACAGACAGTGGTTTTCCAGCCTCTTTCAAAGTTGACGCCTATTTCGCCCTCAGCTCTAGTCCTAGCCATCTCATCACTTCGCATTTGCTTTCATGGTTTGGTACTCGCCCTTCTTCCCCCACGTGTACCTCACGGCACCTTCTCTTGAGGTGGAGGCTGAGTAACAAACACATCTTCGCCCCTGCCACTCCCCTGTGCACCACGTTTTATCCGGCTCTCGATGTTCAATAATAACAGGGCGTTTCGGAAACTAACAACACAAGATCGACTGCGCTCAATCCACCCTCGAGCAAACCGTCGATGTCGGGGGGTCTCTCGACCTAATGTTTCATCGTGTTTGGTGTTGGACGCAAATCTTAATAAAAAATGCTTGCCGTAAGTTTTATCGTGCGGTGATACTTGATAGTTCCGGACTTTCTGAGGAGGATCGGTGTTGTTTTGATTACCAAGATATACAAGCAAGGTTCGTATAAGTTGGGGGAAGAAAAAGGGAACCAGTGGGTAAATCTGTTGACGAGAAACAAAGGTCCGAGCAAAGTATTGCATGGTTTTGCACGGATGGGGGGATATCTTTGGTTGTGTTGCGCGTCGTGAAAAAGTTGGTGAAATCGATGTTGGATGGAAAGGTAGAGGGTTTTTCTAGAATGATGACGTGCGTCGGTCGTGCGCAATGTGTCATTTGATGTAGGAGTGAAGAAGAACGTTGAAAACCTGGAGTAATGACGCGTCGTGGTGATACATGATATCGCTGCTATCGTGCTGGCTATGATTTGGTCGTCGGTATTCATGTGGTTGCAAATGTGCCATATATTGTGCATATTGCTAGACTACACGTATATAGATCCATTGGGGGATGTTGTTAGTAGAAATGGGTAAAACAGAATGAATGGTAGTCGTTTTAGAAATATAAAAGCAATATGTTGCCCTCAGCTACGGTACATAGTTGTGGGCAGTGACAATCCAGCTTCGCCCCAAACAGCTACACCATCGATATCCTCTGGACGCTGCCCGTCTTTCGCCTGATTGCGTGCGTACCATATTTTTCAACTTTCGGAGGGATCTCACTTTCGAATGCTTTCCACAAGACCGCTCCGGTCGTACCCGTCTTCACAGTCAGCACGTGGATCCTGTTGCTTACATTCGAGCCGACCAGGCTGATGCGTACGACAGAGACAAGGGAATTTGACGGCCCGCACACACCGGGAGGGGCAACGAGCGTTTCGTCCGGGTGGCAGTCGCCGTCCTGATGGATGGGCTCATATACTCAAACCAATGAATGAACCGTACCCCGTACCCGCCCCTATAGTAGAGTCGATCAGTGCGGCTTGGACTGTCCGTCGGTCGATTTTCGTGTTTGGGCGAAAGACGAGGCATAGGCTAAGTCTGAAAACATCTTATGGGCTAGATACACATACAATATACAGAGACGGCCCGTTCGAGATATTCCTCTACGAGATGACCGTCACCGTCTCTATAGGTCTCACAGAACGAAAACGTATTTTATATGAATGAAAAAATAATTACGTTCAGTCCGAAGCTCCGAACCACGCACTTTTTGTTGCGAACGAACGCCCGAGGCGACAGGAATCAGACCATCAGCCCTCCTGTACTACATTAGACGCCCTCCAGCTACGTACGGATGTTGTATTAGTTAGTACCGGCCTCACCTGTTTGCCTTGCCACAGTAGCAGTGGCTGTTCTTGAGTCGATGGTGAAGTCGGGTGGCGGTATGTATGTTGTCCGGAGTGATGTTGGGGTTCATGATGATTTTGTTCGAGGGGGGAGAGCGAGAGCGGCGGCTGGGAGCGGCTGGGTGCTAGATCTTTCCTTCTAGACCAGGAAGTTGAACCGACCGGTGAATGAACCTTTGGACGACCCCTTCGCTTGAACCGAGCCTCGGGACTGTGCTTCCGGCATCATCGATCGTTGACCTACAGGGATACTCGGGAAAGTTCGACCCTCTCCACACCTCCTGCATCGAGAAAAACAACAGACGGGAATAGCGAAGACGGGGGGAGAGGAGAGGAGAGGGTCACTGAAAGCACGGTACATGCCATGCGTTCAGTGACCCTGACAGTACGGGATGGACAGAATCTCACGAATACTAGACATAGATTAACCTAACAACACACAATCAGGGCGGGGGCGGGGGGGTACGGGCGGGAAGAGCTGGCGACCGGCAGCAAAGTGTCCACCAGCAGCTGAAGCCGTTCTCCCGTCTATCGACCCCCCCCCTCCCTCCGGTCCCCAGCTGTATTGGATCGCGCCATCTTCCGTTCCAGCTATCAGCTGCTCCCAAGGCTCTTGGGGTCTCCA